AGTGGCATAGCCACGTGACCTAATAATAGGTGCCAGTCTACGAAGCAAGGATTCATATAATTGTCTGATGCGTTCAGGGCTTATGCTGGCCCAAGCATGAAACACTGAATATAACAGAGTTTCTCTGCTGGTTAGACGGGCATTTGTCCAAAGTTTTGACATATCATTCCACACATTTTCTATTATGTTTGCATCCGGACTCTGGGCAGGCCACATCACCCTGCGAATGTCCAGTTGGTCAAACCAATCATCAACTGCTCTGGTCTTGTGACAAGGAACATTGTCATCCTGGTGAACAAATGGATAATTCCTGTCACCAAACATGTTAGTAATAGATGGTAGCAAGCCTGACTCCAAAACATCGATATATTTCTAGTGATTCATGTTTTCTTCAACCACAATCAATTCGCCCACGCCATGGATGCTGATGCAGCCCCACACCATGATGAATATGCTGCTCCGGGTTCGAAAATTCAGTACATGTGGTTCAAATGCTTTACCAGCAGTTCGCCAGCATCGTACCCGTCTGTCATCAGAGGTCAGACCAAAGCGACACTCATCAGAAAAATTTTATAGGACCAATTGTCACGGACTGTCCAGTTCCAGATCCTGTTGACCCTAGTTCACTCTACGTTGCCTGTTTTGTAACGATATAAGAGGTTTCAGTCTTGCTACCCTGCTGTACACTCTATGAGCATGTAACCTACGCCTAGCAATGTTCACAGACACATTCTTACGTGTGAAATTTTTCCACTGTGTTGTCAACTGACAAGCAGTGTCGAACTTTGACAAGCTGGACATCAAAATCAGTCGTCGATCTGACGGCCAGTAGTTTTTCTTGGACGACCCATCAGAGGCAATTTGTCTCTTAATCCAGTGTTTCTATACCGAGACCAGACCCTCTGCACGGTTCTGACTAAACAATTCAATTGTATCGATATACTGACATTGCTTATATTTCGCCTCTTCAGGTTAATAACTTGCACCTATAACCGTTAGATAATTGCCTGTATCTTGCCATATTGGAGGAAGACAGGAATAATATTGCTGTACATGTACAAGACCAACAATACAATCCCATGGTACAGCGGTTTTATACCCATTAGTCACATTATAAGTAGACCAGGCATTATAATTACCCAAGATCTGCCTACTTTTATTACTCTGAGTTAGGGGGTGACACTTCTTTTGTCCAGTGTGTGTAGGTGAAATAAGCCTCTTAAATTTCTCATGAAATGCTACTTTATATAAATTAATTACCTTCAGCATCCAGAGGCACAATAAGAAGCTTGTCGTAGTCATCGCTGGTATATATTGATGACAATGACAGCAGAACGTGCTTGAGATCATTAAACTCTGCCTGGAATGCTGTGTCAGTGATACCAAGACGATGTCCATGCGAGAGTCGATTGCGGTAAGTCCTCACTCGACCAATGTTGGCCTCTATGGAGGTGTCAGAAGCTGGTGGGCTTTCCCATTTAGCATGACGGTTGAGATTGGTGATATTTCTTAATAAAACAACTACAAGCGTAATGTCTAAAGCCTGCGTTGTAACAATTTTTGAAGGGGTGCCAGAGGGGTACAGGAGTTTCATTTGACTCGAGTTAATTATCTTTGTCTTTTTGAGTTTTAGCAAGGAGTGCTTAACTTGTTGATTGTCAAGTACGTCAAAAAGTTTGTCAGTTTTACTTGGATCAAACAGTCCTGGATAGGCTGCTTGTAGCTGAGTCCTGAGAACATCTCGAAGCACGTCCGTTGCACGTTCTAGGAGCAGCCGCATGCGAACATAATTTTCCCTTTCATTTCGTGGGATTTCTGAGGGTAATCCAAGACTTGTTGCCATGGTGAACGACCGTGTTCTAAGAAAAGAAACTGTATTCCTGTATTAAAGTCAATAAAATAACTAGAGGATCAGAGAGGCGATACCGCCTCCAAGTACTGTTCCACCAGCTGCATAACATGCATAACAGGTAACATGGTCAATAAGATTACAGTTCCAGGACCATGAGAGTTCAAATTCACATAATGAAAATCCCAATACGTGAAAAATGATGAAAGTGCATAAGATAATATTACATAATGTTTAAAGACATAAAAAACAATACTACTGCTTATGGGGAAATACAAAAAATGTACAGAGCCTCTGGTGGATGGAAGCTAAAAGTCACATCTTGAAGATGCCAGTGTTTGAATAATAATTTAAAACAATTAAAAAATAAAACATAACAAAAAATTCCAATAACGCTGCTATTCAAACTTTTAATCTAGTTGTATTAACATGATATGAATAACCCCACTGAGTTTGAGAATACTAAGGCACTGTTATTCATCTATAGCATTAAAGTAAAAAAAAAAATTTTTTTCTTATGTTAACTTATTTGCAATATTAGGCAACATTTATCTGCATTATTATCAACGATTCCTAATGATGTGACACTGTTAAGAGAGCTAAACCTATGGGAGTTTATAGGGAAATCTCAACATATGTGCTTTATGTAATCTTAAATGCCGATCGGTGAATAAATATTTCAAAGCTCCAGATCGTCGTTATTGTCACTATAATCAATTTACTGTCATTTTAATATGATCAACTAAGAAAGTTATTTACGTAAGAAAAATATCAAAAGTACAAAGTTAAATGTCCAATTTGCTCCATTTTGAGATTCTGAACATAGTGAATGATTGAATTTGACGAACTGCAATGATATGAATTTATTTTTGACACTTTATTACACAATACACAATAATAGGTTTACCGTCATTTTTATATAAACAACTAACAATGTTGTTAAGATGCAGAAAATGACAAAAGAGCACTATTACGTACCTAATTAGTTCAATGATGAGACTGTAAATATGCCTAAAAATGAAATCTGAAGAAAAGCCACTTATATACAAAAAAGGCATAACATCAAAACTGATCAAGCTTGTTTTCACACTTGGTCTGTATATGAGTCAGACTGATCATTTTTGTGAGTTGTAAGACAATAGGCTGATCGGTTTTTCTTGAAATGTATTATCGGTTTTGCACATAAGCTGAAAAAAGCGAAAAAAAAAGCATAACTTTAGTTAAAATGGTCCGTTCAAGCTGATTTTCGAACTCGAACTCGTGTTTTAGTAAGATTGATCACTCCTGTAGGTTTTAAGATAAAAGGCTTATTTGTTTTCCTTGAAATGTGTTCAAGTTCAGTTCGTGATGAAAAGTAGGTCAAAGGTCAATTTCAAGGTCACATTTAGGTTGCCAGTATGTGACTTCCTATTCAAGTTCAATAGTAACTATGGACCTATCTCTGCCAGTTTTGGAGATAAAAGGGAACAAAAACTTGCAAAGTTCAGTTAATGGTGAAAAGTAGGTCAAAGGTCAATTTCAAGGTCACAGTTAAATTGCCAGTATGTGACTTCCTATTCAACTTTAATAGTAACTATAGACCTATCTCCACCAGTTTTGGAGAAATAAGAGACTAAAATATTGCAATTTTGGAGTTACAGTAATATGCCATAAATTTCGTACAGAAGAAATTTATTGAAATAGAAAAAGGTCATTTTGGTTGATATTCATGAAATGGGAGGTGCTCGGAAATTCCAGATGGTCGAATTTCATGAAATAATATCATTTTTGACCAGGAATTGCCTGCCTCGCTATGCCTTATGTCATCTTTTCCAGACATTTGAAATTCTGTGCATATTACCGTATTGCACATTTTATTTTCTCCACCACAATGTACTTTTTATACAGCGTAACTTGTAAACCATATGGAATAAAAGGACACCACCTTCAGTGTTGGGCTTGACGTGCTCTGTCATATGCGAAAAACAAGAGGTCTCTGGCATTAACGGTTCCAGAATCAGAGAGTTTCAGTTTCATCATCTAATGACCGCACCGTGAAAATGCACCTATTGACCCTAAACTCACCGAGATGAAAGATGACCCTAATATTACACCTGCCAATAATATTATAGGTTAAGTTTGTGTAGTTTCTGAAAATCGACACAAATATATATATATATATATATATATATATATATATATATATATATATATATATATATATATATATATATATTTTTTTTTTTTTTTTTTTTTCAAAAAATTCTCATTTTTATAAAATTGTGGCCCGTTTCACCTTAACATAAAGGTCAAATCCAAGGGCATATTTAAAATCGACACATATGGCTTTCGGTCAGCCATCTGTTGAAATTTTTCCCATTTCTTTCGGTTTGGCAGATTTTGGACAAGGGTACATTGCGGCAAGTACCACACCTATGTGACCTACATACAAGAGATGGATACAGGGGCATTTGTAGTTTAGGAAGAGAAGCGGTAACGATGACGTGGCAATGGAGCCGGCAGACGATACCGGTCGGGACAAAAAATGTGTACCGCCAGCGTCGCACTGGTGGTACAATAAGGCACTTATGATTACCTTTATATACACAAAGGAATTGTGAGAATTTTATAACTTTTAAAGATGTTTTCCAGGGGATTTGCGTTGCCAAAATGTTATATTAGAGATATCTGTACGCATTTTAAAATATCCCCCAAAGTTATACTTATGTCTGTCAAGCGTCTTATTGCTTCTTGTAAAGCTTCTTGAAACCCTTTAATAAATATTATAGCTGACATTTTAGGAATTGCCAGTTTTTACATCAATCATATTAAAAAATCTCCAATTTAAGTAGAAAGTAACAATTCGATCACTTCTGCTTCAACCTAAATATGACACACACACACATATAATAAGTGCCTAAAGAAAACATTGCTCGTTTCATTTAGTGCACATATATACAAAGAGTACTGAGGGTTTGGAAAACACTTAGAAACAAACTTTATTTTATAATGAACACTATCCTACAGGCATTTATAGAGCCGAAACCCATAAATTTCTATGGAAAATGGCAGCCATCTTGGCTTTTTCAAAATGCTGAGAGAACACAAACAATCTTAATTTGACTAATGGCACTTTATATCCCTGATTGTAGTTAATACCTTTCTATCCTAATGTCCCTATATACGACATTGGCAGCCATCTTGGGTTTTTCATATTTCCCATACTAGTATTCCGTAGAATTTTTAGTATTTTTGTCCAAAAGCAAGTTCAATTCGTAATTGTCTTCTAATAAACTAGATGCTTTTCAAAAACTTTTCCACTTGGTTTTCATGACTTAAGGCATATATAGAAAAAGTGATCTTAAATTTGCGTGTATTCTCGAACACAGTAAAGTGATATCTAAGTGAATCAAAGAAGATTAAGTGCCTATTTTCAAACAAAAACCCTATATTCTTTAAAAAATACTGTATCTTTCAATTAAATACCTTTTTACGTCACGCAAAGGTCTGTCCTGCATATGCTCACTACTGCTAGGAGTACGTGTCCCTGCTTCTTCAGCAAAATCAACCCCCGATGCTTCAGCTTCTCCCTCTTCTAGTAAAATAATTAAAAGCATAGGTTTGATTAAAAAATTTTCTGAAATACACATTTTTCTCTAAAATTTGATTCATAATCAGGAATATAATAACATAACTTTATTAGGCTGACTTATAAAAGGGAAAAAAGTTGCTGGTAAACAAACGAGTAACGAGTAACGAGTTCATACTTTAATAATGTTCTATTAAGGTCCAAAAGCTGACTGTCAAACAACATGCAGTTTTTTTACTTACTTGCTTCTGATACCACCTGCTCATGTAATGATTCTTCTTGTATTACCTCTTGTCCTTGGGTGTCATCACTTATGCTCACTCTTGCCATAGCATCCATGGCGCCAGGAACCTCATCGTCGCTGCTTAATTTCCGACGTGCTTCAATGTAGGCGTCCTCTGATATATCGCATGTGATATAGAACTCCACATGATGCTCCCTCGAGACCTCAAGAATTTTGTCTGACAGTAAGATGTCTGAAAGAGCTGCAGTAACCGTCCCATCCTTATACTTTGACCAGAAATAGGTCAAGTCTGCCAATGAGTAGAACCTGACAGTAAGTAGAATACTCCCTGTTCTTATAGGTCCAACAAGCTCAGCTTTGAACTGAAGCAAATCATCAAAAATGCGTTTTCGTTTCCTGGGATTTTGTAAAACTTCGCCTGTAAGTGCCCTTTCCGCTATTTGAAGTACACCTTTAGTTGCCAGTAGTTGCAATTCGAGTTGAAGCTCTGCAATAGAAATTGTTTTGCTGCTATAATTTCTAACGAGTTAAGTCTCATTTTACAAATCAAACAGTACTGCAAAGATGTGCTGCATTTTTGAGTAGAATAAAAAATAACACTTGCAAATAGTTAAATGTTGGTAGGCGCTGTATGACAACTTAAGTTTACCGCCATGTGCAAACAAGGACAAACGACTGAAAACATTAGTTGCAGCTCACCCCAGTTGATGGAACAACATTCATAACAATCTTTTTTTTTGCAACAAAGTGAAAAGAAAGGGTAAAATATAAATATAGTTACGACACGTATTTTTATATTTGTTAAGTGATATAAGTTCCTCTCACAAGAATATATCATTTATTATATACAGCTAAAAAATTTTTAGAACAATGTCTTCTGTTCTAAAATTTTGGCAATCTGAGACAAATTCATCATTCTGTTATAACATTTCAACTCGAATTGTTGCGATTAACATGAAATCTGGTCGCAAAGGGTAATTGGAACAATCAGGGCCAGTGGACACACTGAGCTTTATTAAGTAAATAGTCATAGGGTGCATTCCCAGAAATTTAGATCGATCCAGAGATTTAGATTTAGATCGACCTAACTCCCTGGGGGTTCACGCTAAATTGCAGTCAGCCGATCGCGCACCATAGTTAATTATCACCTTACAGCTTTTAGTAGGCGGGACAGACGCTTAAGCCGGCTAGGCTGACAGTAATCTAGTAAGACTCCCCACAGGGCTAGATCGATCTAAAATCTATGGGAATGGGGTCATAAATATCAGGACAGATGATCTGGAACTAAGCATGTGAAAGAAATTATATTCTATATTTAATCACCTCCCTACATGACTAGATTCAACATACAAAGTCGAGGACATCCGGTTCCCATTCCAATTCTACCATCTGTTCAATTTTCCAGGCAGTCCTACTGGCGAGACACCTCATCACGCACAGAGGTGGCAACCCATCACAGACGCTGGAGATGTCGAGGTCAAGAATATTGACTAGATGTCTTTACCGAGTTCAGATTTACAACTTAGGGGTCATATTCTGGTAACTTACAACAATGTGTAATTTTTAACCTAATTCCGATTGTTCACGTAAGTTGGTAAAATGTTTGTAAGTTACAAATGCTTGTAAATATTCATATACATTTGGAACTGCATCCGACCTGTTGTAACTTGTTGAGAAAAGTTGTACGCACTTGTTAGGCTAGACGCTACGGGCCTGAAAAGCAGTTTTTATTTCCTCGGTGATCTATACTCGGTTTGACACTGGATTATGATGGACAAATGTATGACTGTTTATTTCAGGGTGGTCGTCCTATAAAACCAATAGGCCGTGATATTGATAGAGGGCGCCAAAGTCGGAGAAAGGTGCGAAAAATGGACATTTTAGCCTTGTTGTCAATATTTGATTGTTAATTACGTAAATTTACAAGTGACTTGAACCCCCAAAATCTCTGAATGAATCAACAATATTTCTTTCAATCAGATAACAGATTTTGAAGGCTAAAGAACAAACAATCTTTTCAAAATCTAAATTGAAACATAGTCTACTTTTCTATACTTTTGCAGCAAATTTGCTATGTTGGTGATCTTTGGGCGATCATATTTCTTTATATATTGCACTGAGAGTAATACAATTTTCCCTGTCCATTAAAAGTAATATTTCTATCTGTCTTACGAAGTTACACTTGTATTACTTCAACATACGCCATAATGCTGCCCATCAAACATCGTAAATAATAATTCTGGACCATCAAGCAACATTTTTTTTCATTTACAAAAACTAGCTTAAAATGCATTCATTTCACACATTAAATCTCCAAAATGCGGGCTAAATGATGATTAAATATTTGTAGAGATATGAAAATGCAAAATAAAAAATGTAATGTATCTATTTGTCATCTTGTGCGACGCGCATCTATCCGCTAATGCATAGCGCATCTTTCCGCTAATATAGGCCATTACACATGCATTTGCTATTGATAAATTGGTTTTTAAAACAGGTAATTGAAATATTATCAACATCAATACGTATAGTATATTAGGTGCGGTAACTTGTACAAACTTGTAACAAAATAGTTCAGATTTAATTCATAGAAAAGAGCCTTACCATTCTAACGGGATACCAGACCCCTACACGGCTTATTACTTCTCCGATATATTCATTTGTATACTTGAATAATTATACCAAAAATATTATATTTAATTTTAAAGCCCTCATCACAGAAAATGGAAATATATCAATCAGCACATGGCAATGTATGTTTGTGAGACATTAGTACACCTAAATGTCATGATACAAGGCCGGGATTTTGAATCAGACAGTGGATCTAATCTTACAAGAGTGAAAGAAATCTCATACATACCTCTACCTCACCCACCGTTGATCAGACCCCTGAGACTACTGCGTCTAGATCTGCCGCAATATGTACTTCAAGCTATTAAATTGAATCTATTGATTGGTCAGTGTGCAACAGTCAAAATGCAAAATTTCAAAAGACTCACACTATACTGTATCTACTTATTAGTGCAATGAACAGGTCTAAAATCATTCTTGATAAAGCTGGGGCATAAAATAGCGTGTCAATTTTTTGTCTATTACAGAACATATATCTAACTGTTGCTTAGGCTAATTACAAAATGTAGGAGTCAATATCATACTATGCACAGAAAAGTGTAGAAAAGCACATTGAAATGTTTGGGAATGGCAGTTTAGTGTCTGTAAGTGGCTAGTTTTGACATGGCTCTTGAATGAGATTCAGAGAAAGCTTTCGACTTGACATTTTGCATAATCCTTGTTGTAAACGTTAGCTCGTTGTAAGACTTACAACCCCACTGGAAGAATAAAACAGAAATGACAGACATTTTGTATTCTCAAGCAGGCCCCGAATCCCATTCTCGTCTGCTCCAGTACAATTTCATTTAAATATTCCATCAATAGGGCTTTGAAGTCACTACTTTGCATGCAGCTAATATAACGAATGTGAAAGCATGCATATAAATCCAGAAAAAAAAAATGCTTCCATCCACCCCTGTATCTATTCTTGTTGCCGATAAAAATTCTCGTGAAACACCGTCTGATAAAGCAGTGGTAGGCCTACGCTCTATTTTGTCAATAGCACAACATCTGTTACGCGCGGTATACCCTCTGGTTCACAGGGGCCTCTAGCATAGTATACAAAATTGAGGAATACAATAATACAATGTATGTAGCAGAGCACCAGCGGACCCTGTGGTCAGAGAATACCGCGGTAGATATATTGTAGTCATGACGGTGAACCGTATGACCATCTCAAAAAAAAAAAAAAATAAAATAAAAATAAAAATAAATAAATAAATAATAATAAAAAAATAAAAAAGAAAAAGAAAATAAATAAAAATTCTTAATCAACTTTTGCATTGCAACACTTACACTGTATGACTTTATGAAGGTTATAGAAACTAGACTTTGATAAGAAGTCATTGCCGATATTAAGGGGATGGAGTTGTGTAGTCACATGACATGATGTCGAGTGTTCTTGTGCAAGCCGCAGCAGATAGCAGTGACATTATCAAGGAATCAATTGATTATTTATCCCGATTATTTATCAAAGACTGCAGTATGGACCTAACCCATAGAATGTCCGAATGCTCATGTGCATCTTTCATGAGAGGCACAACATACAAGTCAAGCTGTTACGCGAGATAGTAATGAAGATAGTAATGAAGATAACCATAAAGATGAAAATAATAATATTTTGTGAATATCGTAATGACTTAGACCCCATTCCCAGAGATTAGATCGATCCAACTAGATCGACCTAACTCCCTGGGGGTTCACGCTAAAAAGCTGTCAGCCGAGCGGGCACGAAAGTTAATTGCCCCCTTACAGCTTGTAGTGGGCGGGACAGACATTTAAGCCGGATTATCTGACAGTAATCTAGTGAGACTCCCCACGGGGAAAGATCGATCTAAAATCTATGGGAATGCGCCCTTAAATGATACATATGAGTTCATTTTGTTAATGGTTTCATTAAACAGTGCACTGCATAAGTCAAAATAGTATCTTAAAAAAAACTACAATACCTGCTTTGAACCCATGTGTTAAAATTTTGAAATGCAGCATAATGACATTTATTAGTTTCACTAGTCTGACCTAACATGAGGAATGTCTTGACAGAAATGGCAAATTAGGTTATTATAAATATGCAGTTTATCATTTAACCTGCACCATGACACCTTTACGTATGAAATAAACATATTTTAGGCTAGCTTTTGTTAAAGAAAAAGGTGTGGTTTGATGGTCCAGAATTATTATTTACGATGTTTGATGGGCAGCATTATGGCGTATATTGAAGTAATACAAGTGTAACTTCGTAAGACAAACAGAAATATAACTTTTAATGGACAGAGAAAATTGTATTACTCTCAGTGCAATGTATAAAGAAATATGATCGCCCAAAGATCACCAACATAGCAAATTTGCTGCAAAAGTATAGAAAAGTAGACTATGTTTCAATTTAGATTTTGAAAAGATTGTTTGTTCTTTAGCCTTCAAAATCTGTTATCTGATTGAAAGAAATATTGTTGATTTATTTAGAGTTTTTGGGGATTCAAGTCACTTGTGAATTTACGTAATCACCGATCAAATATTGACAACAAAGCTAAATTGTCATTTTTTCGCATCTTCTTTATATAATATAATAATAATAATCTTTATTGGAGAATCACAACCCGAAGGTTGAAGTTATACAATTATATATGAATATTCAAGTCAAGGAAGCCTGGTCATTTTTGCACTGGTGCACTCCGTAGACGGTCTCACCTCCCTGGGGAGCATACAGCTCGGCTGCCATATTAGGCGCTCATAGCTAATATATCATTTCTGCACTGCCTGGCCAGGCCCCAGGAGACAGCAGGTACCGTTTATAAAGGACTGGTATGTCCCCGGACGGGTTTTGAACCCACGTCCTCCCGCTCCGGAGGCGGACACTCTAACCACAAGGCCATCCGGTCATATATATATAAGTTGCATTAACTTTATTCTGTGGGGTCTGTAAATTATAATGAACTGGCATCATTAAATGATAATTATAATTACTCATAATGTATTTTGACTGATTTTATATATCCAAACAGTATTTTAATTTGCAAGGCTCGGTTTATCCATTTAATGAAGGAGATTTCGATTAAAATAATGAGGTAATCATCATTGATGAACCATCCAAATGACCTAAAACTGCTTTAAATACCCAAATATTAGACTAACTAGTAATGTGCGGATTTGGCATATTTGATAGCATTCCATTCATATCATTCCTTATATGACATTGTATTTATTACAAAGTTACAGAGTTAATTCTTGGAGTAAACTGACACTTTATCAGATTGCACTTGGTCATGACAATTATTGCTGTTTTCTTTCTCCTATTTCATTCTGAAATTGCTTTCATAATGCAAAATATATTTTCTGTATTTATTTAGTGCCATCTACTTGCTGCAGTCCTAGGCTGAGGCAAAATAAAACTACAAACGAATAAAAAAGTGAATTCGGAATATTTCAGCGCGCCTTTTAACCTGTACAGTCACTTCAAAGCAGACTCAGATTACACACCCATTTTAAAGCAGTTGCACTGGCTACCTGTTAGAGCACGCATTTTATTAAAAATCTCAACTTTTATGCTTACAATTTTTACCAATCAGCTGCCCTTACCTACAAAAACTAGTTCATCATTATGCCCCAACACATAGTTTAAGATCACTTGACTTACAAATTCCTTTAAATGATTACAGATTTTTAATTATGAGGCAAATGGCGACAAAGGTATCGACTTAAGAGTCCAAACACTATATCAACTAACTGTAAACAGCATGGGCTGAAACCACCGGGCTTGCGTCTGCTTGAAGAACGCCAAAACACTCCCCTTTACCAGTTAATTATACATTAAATACAGTATATTAACCGGATATTGATGAAGAATGCGACCACCATTCGTTACATTTTGACATTTTGCCAGGAAAGGAATTATGTGTGAAATACAGAGACATATATGTGAATTTAGAGTTAAATAGAAGTTTGAAGTTTGAGAAAGTCTCAGTAAAGGTACATGTCACGAAGCTCGCTGAATGGCTCACTCAATTAAGATTGCAATTTCATTCAATAGCAGTCGCTGCAGACGTTTTTTTACTCAAATGGAGAGGCACTGTGAAGCAAGCACGGTTTCCAGAGGCGAACACATAACACTGAACACATAGTACTGAATAAAACTTTCGACGCCCCTTCCTTCTTATGCTCATTTGCATAATGGTTATTGATAGGTAAGTCCAAACACAACGCAGGTTTCCATTAAAGGATTTTTACGTTTTGAATTATTGAACAGAAAACATTTTTAATGGCTGCTTTTCTAAATAAACCCCTTACTTCTTTTGACCAGTATATACATCACTATAGTTACTGACCTGCGCATCGTTCGGAAGAGGTGTCCAAAGTGTCCGTGCGCTTTCGTTTTGACCTCTCTCCTGAAATCAGATGTTTTATTATATGAAATGCGCTATATCTTTATCAAATACATTATGTTTACTGTGCAGCATTGGAAATAAGTCAACAAAGGTTCTGTACACTCGCTCTTATATTAACTTCTTCTACTATTACTATAGATTAATATTTTACCACAATGATTTTAACTCCTTACCATTTTCTTGTGCATCTTGTTGAACTGTGTTCTCGTCCTCAGCGACCATGTTGTCGTCCATTAGGCACTGTATTTCTTTTTCTGACGTTTTCACAGTATCCACAAGTCTTTCAAGACCTATATCTGTTAATAGCCGTGTTAAATAGCTATATTCTCCAACTTTGATCATACCGGTATCTGTCAGATCGTTCAGCATTGTTCTCATATCAGCCGCATCTAAATTCTTTTTCAATACAGATCGAAGTAACTGGCGAATTTCTTTGGTCTTTTCCTCCCCTATTTCATTATGAAGTTCGTTTACCAGAAGGTTATGTTTGTATGCTTTCTCCAAGTCAACACAAGGTGCAGCGGCCATTTTGCTCACTGATAACCTATTTACAAAAAAGGGTAAAAATAACGATTAATAGATATTAAAACTGTATTTAAAGCTCAATATTAAGCGAAATTAAAACCACGACAAAGCACAACTACAGTTGTAGGTATATTATGGCAGCAACCGGCTGGCTTATAGAGATGCATGATGTTCAATGGGAATCCAGGGCCTATCGACATTGACAACACCGAGCTGGCATTTTGCTACCTAGGCTGATATGCTAAATCAGGCCATTGGTAAAATTGAAATGAAATAGATATACGCCTACCTGGCCCCGTACTCCGTATTTCTACGGTCATTTTATTAATTGTAACATTTAATTATTATACTACCTTTACTTACTTTAGTAATCAAGAAAAGTTGAGTTGATCATACATGTAAGATGGCGTCTTTCTGCACCAAAGGCGGGTGACCTAAATAGATATAGGGCAAAGTATCGACTCAAGAGCCCAAACGCCGTGTCAACGAAGTGTAAACAGCATAGGCAATTGCGTTCTAAAACCACAGGGCTTGTGTCCGCTAGAAGAACGAATTTTGTCATACTCCACACCGCATGTATAATTATTTCTCGTGTACTTGCAAAATCACCAAAGCTAGAAAAAACAGTGTGAATATCCTGTATATACTATGGGGCGTCTATCCCACCTTTTCCAACATAAATGGGTTTCTCAGAGGAAAAAGACGTCTCAAAAACACCTATAACCGATGATGGCTATCATTTTTCAGAACATGGCACAAGCCACTTTGCATCCAATCTAAGCTGTAAAATCGAATTTACACTCAACATCAAGCCTAAACAGAAATAGAAATGTGTACGGTGCATTGTATTAAAAGGATCTTCGCCACAAAGACTTGACTCACTAAGTGACTTTATAGTGGCTATGGTCCCCACTTAGTTTACGGGAAACTCTTACAACCCTTTCGTGGGTGATTTTAAGCAACACTATTATTGACCTACAGTATATCCTGGCAAACACGTCACGTTCGGAACACGTGACTAGCACGTTGCTATGACGTTATAATGAGCTACACTGTAGCAACGTGACGCGCTTGCTGGGTTACTACTGAAGGATAGTATATTATATGATCTTGTCAAACTACTTCCATCTTTTTCTTAAATGATTAGCACATACATTTCTACAGGGGACATAGTTTTTTTTTAAATTTTTATGGTAAATACATACTGGTATAGGTAATAGTGTAATACATATAATTAATTAATAGACGCACGAATGCAAGTACACTAAGACGCCACGTATATTGAGACAGACGTCGATGCACATGTTGTGTATGTTTGCTAGTCCTACTAGGCCTTGTAGTAAATCACCAGACTCTTAACATACCTTGTAAGATGCAGCGATGACTTCGTATCAAAACTCTGTTAGTGCAGGAGTGCAATTCGATTGCTGGCTGGAATAGGATCGAGATGCATTCGAGTTGCCCCCTGGCTCATTCTAGCAGGATTTGAAGTGTCTTGCCATTTCGGTTCTCCCTCGAATGTGATCAGAATGTTTCAAATGCTGTCAGAATGCCGTGAGAATATTTAGAATGCAGTCATAGTGCAGTTAGAATACTATTCAAATGCCATTCGATAATTTTCCACTTGGAATGCACTTCGAAAGTTTCTTACATGAGCAAAACACTCGGGCCGGCCACAAGAATGAGTAAAAATATTTGGAATGCACTCAGAATTTTTAGAATGCTATTACGAAGTTCAGATAGGCAAACAATCTTATTGACACGTGTCAGTTGTTACCTAAAATAAATTTCAGGTAAAAAGGTTTCTTTAATTTGTTTTCCTATTTTAATAATACAATATTTTTATTCATTATTACTGTAAGGTTCTTCTGATATTCTCTTATGACAGTTTTTCAAGCAGAAAGTAAAGCACTGATCACGCCTTAATAGTCAAGACAATTACAAGTTATTATATACATCACAGAAAACGTCCATACCTTTCACTGAAAATCTGACCGTCTTCCGGAAGACCCAGAAGACGGCCTAAATCCGCCCCTGATTATCAATTGGGTCATTAACGCAAAGAACTCCTTTTTGAAACCAAGTTTTTATTAATTATTGATTTTAACATAATCATTTAAGAAAATTGTATGCTTGTAGTAAATTGTTTGTCGAAGGGTGGCACAGATATCTACAGAACATGTTTTAAATTTCTTTGATGAAATTCACGCCAGTAGACTGGGTTACGATGTGCTTGGTCACCTGCAAGTGATCAGGACCCGTCACACAGTCACTTTTTAAATATCGACATTCCTTTGGTCGTGAAAGAGGAAACGTTGAGATTTGTTTTACATGAATAATGTAAAAAATATCGAAGCACGAAGCAAAATTGTCAAAATATTAAAGCTCCACTGGTTTTAAAAGTAGAAACTCTGAGACTTGAGATCACACACGATTGGTTTATCATGGTGAGCGGTGGTACTATGTGGGATAAAGAACCGCCAAAATTCCCCAAACTATGCTGGAAAAAAACGTTCAGATACAAAAACCGGGGGAAAAATCACCCAAAACAGTGTATGTTCGATCATTATAGGGTGCTAGCCAATATTATACCCAATGATATGTGTGTTTAGAAAATGTCAATTTTGGCTTTAAAATCACTAAATAAAACCAAAAACATAGTTTATGAAATTCATGCGCATGCACGCTTTTCATTTACTCAATCCAATATTTATCATTTTATTATGTGCTGAATGTTGACTAGTGTCGTAAGATTTTTTAAAGAAAATGAACAGTTTTAGTGTATAAATATGTGTAATATGAATATAATCATAGATAGAAGAATGTGTAGTTTATTCAAGCACATTATATTCTTAATCCTGGAACATTCATACAACATGAATCTATATATATATTTATACTGTCCGGTAGCATATTAAACTAAAAGTAATACATTTATATTGACCAGAACACGTGCAAGCATTTACAACATTGATTACACGCAGTTTATTCATGGTTCTGTCGACCACAGCATCTTAACTAGATGTTACAGTTATAGTATCACTTTACAAACATGTATTACACATATATTCATATATTGATATACAGTACATGTACCTGTATTTTAATTCAGAAGTGTTTCGCCAAGTTGCAGTACTGGTATATACATGTACATGTATAAACATTGGCGGCATTGGTTACCTCATGATATATCGATGCTGTCGACCACAGCATCTTAACTTACATTGTGTGCACAGATATGTTTTATAAATATACATTTAATATAAATTCATATAATTATATACATGTATTTTAATACGTACTAGTTTCACCCAGTTACAATGTCACTAGATATATAACTACATGTATCATCTCACACTTTCTAAGTTTAGGGTAGAAAACATACCTAAATATCTGACCATCTGGGGCGGTATCTCGACATGTCTGCTAAAAGTACATATTCTTATGCATTATTATAGATTAATGTTTAACACACATTTGACAATACAATAGCACAGTTGAACAAATGAAATAAGCTGTTGAATTATGCCTGGTGTCTGGAATATATGATATATTTGTAAATGAGTATTGCCGAAAACTTACAACTTGATAAATAAATAGAGTTTCATTTGTCAGTATAGCTAAAAAATAAAAACCAAAATTTACCAGCTAGCTGACCAAGTATACTGTTTTGAAAATTTTTGGGCATTTTACAGCGTGCTCTGGGACTGGGGTCAGTTATTTGTTTGGTTCAGTAATATGCAGGGTTGAGGGGGCCATTTTGACTTGGAGGGTAAAAAAATTCCCACTGGCCACTAATCTGTATCTGCCCGTGACGTGACCTTTTCAAACATTACATCCTGGTAATTCAGAAACGCACACCTTCTTTTTAATGATTCTAGACTATACATTTTGAAAAAAAGCAGCATGAAGCATCCAGCATTGTGTTTATATATAAATAGTTCTAAATAAGAGTGCCATAGATATACTGACATTATATTTTGGTGATTGGACATTTGCTAATTGTTAAACACAAATATTTAATTTAAATTACCAACCTGATATTTGAAAATGCGTACTTATCTGTTTTGTCTGACATACGAGAACTAAGCTACTCATACGTAAACTATTTTCAATACACTTTATAACCTTTTGACTAACAAAATCTAACATTGTTCTTGAGGCATTTAAATTAAACATCTTTGTAATTAAGTGAAGAAAATCTCAACTACATAGTTGAGGATGAACGTGAGATTGCAGTTTTGACTCAGTAAGTGGATCGATTCTTAAGAAGTCACAGCTATAGGCCTCATGTGAAGATTGGGTAGGTCAGGAAAAAATAACATGCCTGTATATAGACTGGAACATCCTGATTAATATCGGGGTGATGCCACATGATATAGATAAGTAGAATCTGCACCACAGGTTTTACAGGAAAGTTACGACAAGTCTTTGGGAGATATCACATGGCATAGATATGTTGATGCACTACGGGTTTGTACTGGTAGTCTTGTTTGGTAGGGAGATTGAAAAGAACAACAAGGAATAAGGCGATGCAAAGCCTTAAATCCCAGACGGGATGTACTGGTACAATTTAATAAATACCGGATCATGTATTGGCAAACACTGATTAAAAATTATAATAAAAGACCCATCCCACTTTTTATTGTTAAAACAAAAGAAAAAAAGAAGAAGAAATAAATAAAAAATAAGATAAAAACATAGCATAGATACCATGAATGTGTCAACAAAAACTAAAAATTGTATTAAATTTTGTAATAAAGCTTGAAGTCCCAACCGATAAAACTTAAAAACCAACTTGCTTGCTTAAATTTTCCTTTAACTATCAATTCAGTGGCAAGATATTTGCATATATTTATCAGTACTTTGTTCAATACAATTATTTTTGCAAGACGCATTTTAGAATTAAGAGTCACCATCTTACTGTCCATGGGGCCGTAATGTTCATAATAGACTTCACGACATTTCTCATAATATGTCAGGGCCTCTGAATACTTGCCCATATCATGCAGGACACAGCCAATGTTGTGATATAGCAGGCCAGTATCAGGGTGTTTGTCACCAAGTATCTCTCTTCTTACGTCAAGAGCTTTTTTGTAGTATGTAAGTGCCTCTGCATGTTCCCTTAACTCACTAAGTGCAAATGCTTTATTGCTGTATTCACTGGCAGTGTCAGGGTGTTTGGATCCACGAACTTTTTCCAAAACTTCAAGACTTTTATTATGGTACGTGAGTGCATCTCTATTCTTACCCATGTGAGCAAGCGTCAGACCCATACTGCTATAAGTATCAGCAGTATCCGGATGATTGGGTTTAAGGACTTCCTCCCTGCCTTCAAGACATTTATGATAACATGCAATTGCGTCTTCATACCTGCCCATATCACAGTACAAGTTGCCCATGCTGTTGTATATGGCAGATGTTTCAGGGTGCTTTGGACCCATGAGCTCTGTCATGGTGTCAAGGTTTTCAGAGTAATATTTAAGTGCATCTTCTGGCTTACCAGTTTCCTGTAGTATTTTACAAATATTTGTATTTGCTTTGACAGTGTCAATGTGCTGTGGCCCGAGTACATCTTTCAAGATTACATGCGATTTCTTATAATAAGCTAATGCGTCTGGATTATTACCCATTTCGGTCAATGTGTTACCAATATTGTTATATATTCTGGCAGTTAGAGGATGTTTGGGGCCATGGATTTCTTCATATACTGAAAGGGATTTCTTGCTATACTTGAGGGCTTCTTTATACACCCCCATTTCTCTATAAACATCACCAATATTGCCGTAAGCCGAAGCAGTATGAACGTTTTTAGAACCAAATGATGACTCTAAGACGTCAATACTTTTCTGGTGGAAAGTAAATGCTTCTCTAAACCTACCCATTTCCTTCAGGATTGTGCCATGTGCGTCATATCCAATGCCTGTATTAGGATGTTTTGGACCTAATCCCCCTTCTAAGATTTCAATACATTTGTCTTGATATCTAAGGGCCTCTGTATAGTTGCCCATGTATCTAAGTGCTCGAGCAATGCTACTGTATGTGTCGGCAATGTCAGGATGGTTAGACCCAAGGTTTTCTTGCTGGACTTCAAGACATTTTTGCAAATATGATATAGACTCAGTGTACCTACCCATTTCCATTAGGACAATGCCCATGTTGCTGTAAAATGAAGCCATCTCGGGGTGACTAGATCCTAGTGTCTTTGTCATTTTTTTTACACCTCTTTGATAAAATTTTTTGGCATTTTTGTATTTCCCCACTCCATACAGCACATTACCAATGGACATATAGACACGTCCATCAAAAGGCCTGAACGGATCTTTTTGTACCAGCGTTTTCAATGATTTGAGTATTGAAAATGCTTCAGGGTATAAAAAAAGTATTTCAAATACACTTGCAATGTGCAACAAATTACTGAATATGTCTATGTCGCTTTGTTTGTTGTTGTTCAGTTGATCTGACAGCAAACCAGCAATAAGCCTAAGATGTGGCAGTATCTTTTGTGCTTTTGCGTGCGTTTCTTTAGACGGAAGGGTATCAAATTCGAATAACAGAAGAGGTATTTGTTTCATGTAATATTTGCAGTATGCATCTTGTATGTGAGCCATTTCATTTTGATCTTTCCTTGCTTGAAACTCCGCATAAGCTCTTAACAAGGGGTGGAGATCATAGGAACTTGGGTCTGAACTGAGAAGGGATTTATTGGAAAGACTGTCAAGGATAGATTCACATTCATCCTCATCTATTTCAAACATTTCTGAAACTTCTTCCAGAGAAAATGAGACTGGAAACATATGCAAAGCCCTAAATACTCTTTTTTCTTCAGTATTTAGTGTTTCATAAGACATATCCAGGCATGCCATCATTTCTTGAGAAGCTGGAAGATTTGCTACCTTAAGACTTTCAATAACATTTTTGTTTTTTATCCTGTCTAATACTCTCTGTGCAGTTTTTTTCTTGAGTTGAACTGCTAATAATTTCAGTGCAAGGGGGTTCCCACCACATTTCTCTGCTATTTCACTTAACACTACTGATTCACTATCAGTGGGACTAGAGGTTTTTCCTGCCCAAAGAATATCAATGGAAGGGGCCTTATCAAGAGGAGGTAAGTTTATGACAGCCATGGGATGCGACATTTGACTGAATGCTTCACGACTGGTGCACAGTAAATTGATATGCTTTGTTGAATTCAAAATATCTTGGATCAATTTGTGAAATTCTTGCAAATTTGACTTCATTATCTCATCATTGTTATCAAATATTATAACAGTGTCTGAAGTTAAACTAGACAGAGATTGAATGAATACATTTTGATAGTCACTGTATAAATCTTTCAGGGAACTTGTTGGGTGGTAGTGCTGGACTAGAGAAAACTTCACAGATTCAAGGTTGGTGACTTGTCTCATATCAATGAACAACACCTTTTGCTCGCGATGCCCGACTTCGATGGCCACCGATGTCTTCCCAATGCCCCCCATCCCAGTTAGAAGAACAAGTCGGGTTTCACCTGCAATGTGCTGCTGTATTCGTTGCACCAAGTCTTCACGGCCTTTAAGGTCAGCAAATTTTCCTGGTAGCTGTACTGAGAGGAGCTGACACGGGGCAACTGAAAATAAAATATTAAAATATGATAATAAACAGGATTATAACTTTTTGCAATAATGACCTTGGTAGCCTATCATCTACTTAGATTTTTTAATGATTTATGTAATATTACACAATCAAACGGTTTAAATAAACGTTTATTCAAAAGCCAAATCATATTGTACTTATACCACACATTATCAGTGTCATTATTTCAAAATAATTGGTTCACAAATAATATCAACCCTTACGAAAATTTCCTATAGGATCCTATAGGATTCCTATAGGATCCTATAGGAAATCTTATAGGATCCTATAGGGCACCTTTCCTATAGGATTTCCTATAGGATCCTATAGGAAATTGTTGTAAGTTAAAATCTTGAGAAAAATACATATCTTATAAACAAATATCATTCTAAACAAAAGATATTTGATATAGGTCAATTTTATCAGTAGAATTGTCAATTATATATCGCTGTTAAAGCAAAAATGCTTTTTATTGTTTATAATGCACAATCTTATAGTCTTCTATAGGATTCTATAGAAATTCTTTAATTTCTATTTTAAAGAAATCTTGAAAAATTGATCATTTGTAAAGTAATCTTTTATGGAGAAATATTTTATCATTAGGAATGTTTTTGTACCAAATCATTGAAGCTGAAATTATTTTTTAAAATTTATGTTCAGACCATTAAAAAAATTCCTATAGGATCCTATAGGAAATCTTATAGGAATTTCTATAGGAACCTATAGGAAATCCTATGCTTATTCATATAGGAAATTTTTATAAGGCCGGGTTGAATGAAAAATAATGAATCTGGTCTAAATATCAGTATATAATTTTAATTTTTAATTTATGTTCAGACCATTAAAAAAATTCCTATAGGATCCTATAGGAAATCTTATAGGAATTTCAATAGGAACCTATAGGTAACCCTATGCTCATTCATATAAGGTATTTTTATAAGGCCGGGTTGAATGAAAAATAATGAATCTGGTTTAAATATCAGTATATGATTTTGATTTTTAATTTATGTTCAGAATATTACAAAAATTCCTATAGAATCCTATAGGAAATCTTATAGGAATTTCTATAGGAACCTATAGGAAATCCTATGCTAATTCATACAGGAATTTTTATAAGGCCGTGTTGAATGAAAAATAATGAATCTGGTTTAAATATCAGTATATGATTTTGATTTTTAATTTATGTTAAGACCATTACAAAAATCCCTATAGGATCCTATAGGAAATCTTATAGGAATTTCTATAGGAACCTATAGGAAATCCTATGCTAATTCATATAGGGAATTTTTATAAGGCCGTGTTGAATGAAAAATAATGAATCTGGTTTAAATATCAGTATATGATTTTGATTTTTAATTTATGTTAAGACCATTACAAAAATTCCTATAGGATCCTATAGGAAATCTTATAGGAATTTCTATAGGATCCTATAGGAAATCCTATGCTAATTCATATAGTGAGTTTTTATAAAGCCGGGTTGAATGAAAAATAATGAAACTCGTCTAAATATCAGTATATAATGTATTTTTACTTTTTGTGTGATCATGTTCACTTACTTCATATTTCTTCCATTATATTGAAAGTCAACCTTATCTAATCAGATTTTACTTGACCTTGAAATGAAATGAAATGAAATAGTTTATTCTCATTTACTGTACATTTACAGTTTAGAGAGCATATATATATATATATATATATATATATATATATATATA